GCTGAGGGGAGCAGTGGGCGGGTCAGGAGAGGTCTGCCACGCCATGTGGTCACCTCCGGGGCAGGCGGGGATCGAACTCATGCGGAAGTGGCTTTGGTTTCTCAGTGCAGTGCTTTAACCCGCTGCGCCACCAGGGAGGGCCAAAAGTTTTGTATCTTTTAACTTAGGAATTCTACTTTTAAAAATTCATTGTAAGGGAGTATTCATAAATATGGAGAAAGCCGCTTTGTGGATATTGGATTTATCACAAAAGTACTTACTTATCATAAAAAGTAGGAAGCAATCCAAATGTCAGTTATAAGAAATTGGTTAAGAAAACCCCAGTCAATGAAATGTTCTGTTGCCATTGAGCATATTTCCTGGGAGCATGTAATAAAAGAGAGATAGTGTTCAGTGGTGGAAAATACAATGTAGAGTATTATCTATTCAATATATTCACAAAGTGGTAAAATAGACCTTTGCCTAGAAAAAAAGTAAATTTATTAAAATATTGGCAGTGATTTATTTTCAGACGGTGAAGCTATGTGAATCTTATTTTCTTCTTTTATAGCAATTTCAGAATTATCTTTACATACTGTTTTTATTGTGGGGAAAGGGTGTTCTTTCCACAATACTACCTTCCCACTAAAAATACTACTTTCCCTACAGCTTTAACAGGAGAATAAAATTCACTCTGCAAACACTGGAATAAGACTTGCCAAAGAACAAGTACAGCATGGATTCTCTACCAGAAGAATTTTTTGTGAGGTAAGAAATGGGTTTTTACAAAACCAGCTGCAATTGCTGCATTCCAAAAAAAAATTTATCTTTTTCATAAAACCTTGGTAAACTAGTGTGTGATACCTTTATGTTTCAAGACTGTTTGATTAGAAGGACATGTAGACTGGGTGAAATTTGAGAAAATTTGCAAAGGACCACACCTGGATAAAAATCTGAGAATCGGGGCCTCTGGTGGCCTAAGGGTTAAGTCTCAGTGCTTTCACCACTGTGGCCTGAGTTAGATCCAGGCCAGGGAGCTGACCAACATGGCGCAGCAGCACTTCCTGATCCCTTAGCAGTGTATTTCATCAAATCCACCTGCATTCTGCTTCCCACTCTGTCTCTTGTACACAAAAGTTAAAAAAAAAAATCTGGTAAGTGAAAGTGTGCTCCAACTTGCCATACTGGGGATAGCAACTTGGGATAGGATTAGTTGGCAATTTTTTTTAAATAGTATAATAGTTTATTTTAGTTGGTAATTTTTTTTTTTGTTTAAAGATTTTATTTATTCATACAGAACTGGGGTACAGGCCAGAGATGCAGAGGGGAGCAGTGGGGGAGTCAGGAGAGGTCTGTGGCACCATGTGGATCTCCTTGGGGCAGGCGGGAACCGAACTCATGCCGAAGTGGCTTAAGCTTGTTAGTGCTGTGCTTTAACCCGCTGCACCACCAGGGAGGGCCCTTAGTTGGTAATTTTTTTTTTTAAAGATTAATTTATTTGTGCATACAGAATTGGGGTACAGGCCAGAGGCTCAGGGGCAGTGAGAGGCTTCACCAGAGACAGAGTGGGGAACAGAACAGGCAGATCGACGAAGTACACTGCTGAGGGGAGCAGCGGTTGGGTCAGGAGAGGTCTGCCACACCATGTGGTCACTTCCGGGGCCGGTGGGAATCGAACTCATGCGGAAGTGGTTTCAGCTTCTTAGTGTAGTGCTTTAATCCCCTGCGCCACCAGGGAGGGCCAATAATTATCTCTTAAATGAATATGTAAGTGTGATGTAAAGTAGGATATTTATAAAGTGTAATTCTGTATAAATCAAGTTATGGATATATTCAAAATAGGATTTCCTCACTTCATTTTTATCTCTGGCATTGTATAAATAGCTAAAAATAGCCCATAAGTCACATGAGCCTATATTATAATTCTTATGAGTCCTTTGTCATGGTTCTGTATGTCGCAAAAGCAATTTATAAGCAAACTCTTCAGGTTGAATATGAACACAGCACTTCAACATCCAAAGCAAACCAAACAAGTTATTCTTTTTTATGAAAAATATTATTGTTTCTAAGTATTATATTCTGCCAAAATAAAACAAATATATATTTTGAAAAATTGGACAATTGTAAGGCCAGAAACCTTACAAAGTTATGAAATGATTTATAAGATAGGTCCTTTTCTAACCTTTGTTATTTTCATAAACACACAAAGCAAAGTAAGTCTTTTTTTTTTTTTAATAAAAAGATTTATTTATATCTGCAGAGCTGGGGTACAGGCCAGAGGTGCAGGGGTGGTGAGAGGATTCACCAGAGGCAGAGCTGGGACCAGAACAGGCAGATTAATGAATTACACTGTTGGGGGGAGCAGCGGGCGGGCAGGAGAGGGCTGCCATGTCATGTGGCTCATCTCCCTGGCCAGGGATCTAACTCTCACTCAAGCAGCTGCGGCCAAGCTTCACTGCTGCATTTTAACCTGTTGTGCCACCAGGGAGGGCCCAGCAAAATAAACCTTTCAAAGGATCTTTTTTCTCTATAATGAAACAATTATAAAGTTACTTTTCCCCAGCATTTTGGTCTGTCTGTGCCTGTTAAAGATAAAATATTGCTTACATCATTTTTATGTTCTTTTTCTGCCATCTAGAAGAGCCTGTCATAATTTCTGTTCTTTAACTTAATTCCCTAAAGACTTACCACTACCATTGTCAATCTTTGATGCATATTGTCTTTACTATTGAAACCTTTAGATAAAAATTCACTTTTTAGACTCTTTGCTACTACACTTTAATTGTGTTTTTTCTAAGGAGAAGCTTTGACTATTCCTTTTCCATTTAAAATAGGAATCCTTTAGAAGAGCAGACTATGGAAGAAACTGAGAATAGTATAGAAAATTCAAATGATCAACTGGTAAGATATTTAATTTTTATTAACTGTTAATTTGTAATCACTAAATATATGTGAGAAAGTAATGCTAAATCTAGTCAATTTAATTATCTTAAAAATTTGGAATGAGTTCGCTTTTCTATTCTAATAAGTAAAATTAAAGTTTCAATTAATTCTTTCCTCAATAATTCATACAGTGTGTCATAATTTCCATTCTAAGCATTAGTCCTTATTGAAAATTAATATGCAAAGAAAACAGAATTTTATTTAGTAGAAATTTCACTGAGTTATTTCTGAAGTTAGTTTTCTCCCCTTTTAAAATCATCTTCTAGTTTTAAATGGAATAGCTGAATTATAAATTGACATAAGTTTCTTATAGCCAATAACAATATACATTATAAGTTAAAAATAAAAATACATATATATACATATGCTTGTGAATATAATTGAATATCACATGTGCCTTTTTATTCAGTGAAAAATGAAGAGGTATTCGTTAGTTCTTGTTAGTGCAATGTTTATCTGCCACATAGTTTTTACATAGTGACTGATGTGCAACTATTAATAAATAAGCTCTGTCCATTAATGTAGGAGGAGAAAGTCTACATAAACATAAAGTACCCATAATATTTGCCTACACGTGGCTATCATTATAATTGTGTTGTAGAGAAAATACAGAGGGGTTGAACCAGAGGGGTTAGATCCAAAAAAGACATTTCTAGATGCAGATTTGGAGTACAATAATGAATGAATAAATGTATTGTGCATCAAATATTTTTATAACTTCTTTTAAATTTAGCATTTTTAACACTTTCAGTGGAGTAGATTAATATATGCTATACAGTCAAAGATACAATGTCAAGGATTTTTTAAAGCCTCCACCCATGTAAGCCTACAGTTGTTCATGTTCCCCTTCCATAACAGAAAATTCTTGTAATTCCCATCTTTCAATTTCTTATTTTGCTTATACTTCAAATGAATTTATGATGGCTTTTTCCCTATTTTAAAACTTCTTTATTTTGATCTTGAACTTCTTGTTAAGTTGTAAGTTCCCTACGAGTACAGAGAATGGCGTATTCTTATTTGGATATTTTTAGTTGTTATAGTAATCTCCATATAGCGTAGAATAGCACCTTAGTCTTTTTAAAAGTACTCTGGCTGCTTTTAATGTTAGGGTAAATAACAACATATATAAATGTGTAAAAAAATAATGTCTTCTAGGACAAACAGGAACAGGACACATTTACTGATCTGGTCCCTGTTAATCTACTATTAGAAGTGAAGAAGTTATTGAATGCTATAAATACTCTACCAAAAGGTGTGGTACCTCATATTAAAAAGTTTTTACAGGAAGATTTTTCCTTCCAAACTATGCAGGTAAGATTATAATTTGTTCTTTGGGGCAGAAGTATAGTCTCTATATAAAACTGTAAAGACCATCTAGGGACAGCACAGTACACTCCTTCACTCTCATCTGCTACCACACTCGGGCACTCTGACACAGGTGTATGCATTTATTCCCACAGGACTCATTCTCATGAAGGCTAGGTGTCCAGTAAATCAATTCAGTGTTGATTCTGTGCACCTAGAGTTAGCCACAGATTCCATAAGTTGAGGGCTCACTCGCACTGACTACCCCGACTTCAGACACCAGTCTGAGATCTAGGATGTAACTGATATTTCTGTCTGACTATAAACCAGTTTTCCATGTCTTTCTCTTCGGTTCAGTAATTTTCTAGAACAGGTTGCAGAATTTAGGGAAATAGTTAATTTTACTAGTTTATTATGTAGTAATGAACACAAATAAACAGCCAGATGAAGAGATAGAGCCTGTTCTGGATGGTTCCCCAGAGCAGGATCTTCCATACCTATAGAGTTGGGGTGTGCCACCCTCCTGTCTTGTGGATTTGGTCACTAACCTGGAAGATGCGTTTTATAGTTTTAGGATTTTTATGGAGATATTTTTATGTAGACATGATCAATTATTAATTCAGGTAAAAGGCCCTCTACTGTGAAGGAATGGGGTATAGGCTTGAAGGTTCCAAACTTCTAATCATGGCTTGATCTTTTCTGAAGCCATGTCCTATCCAGAAGCCTGCCATGAGTTAATTTGTTATACCAAAAGATAACTTTTATTAACCAAGCAAGGCCAAGCTTCAGACACTCTTAACTCTTGGGAATTGTTTGTCAAAAAGTAGGTTCAAAGTCTAAATATTATCAGGAACGAGAGGCATAGATCAATATATATGTATATATGTCTGTGTATATTATTTCACATACTTGGAGGGAGATACAATGTGATAAAACTGAATTTGCCATAAATAAAAATTTACAATGCTCATATAACTCCAATTAAAATAACTAAAAGATTTTTGACTATTGTTACTAAAGGCTAACTCTACAGTTCAAATGGAAAAGAAAATAACCAAAAAAAAAAAATTATGAATAAGTGTAGGGGAGAAGGGCTAGGAATACGCCCACTTAGATTATGAAGTTTTGATTACTAAAAGATGTGCTACTTTGCACCATAGTCAAATCTAAAAAGTGAAATTTCAAAAGCTCTTCAAAATAGAAAGAACTTGTACAGATTTGTATGATAGGATGACAAATACTAGAGGAAAAATGGATTACGAACAGCCCCAGTGGGATATTTCAACATCACTCCCTTGATAGCTAATAGAATATGTACACAAAATTAGTAGAGCAGAAAGAGAATCCCATTGGTGGGCCCTCACCCACACACTTAAAAAAGTAGGACATGACCCAAAAGCTAGCACATAGGGAGGAATAATAGTAACAGGACTTATTTACAAAGGGAGTAGGAAAAGGGAAAGCTAAAAGAGAATTTTTAAGTTGGCACATGGCCAGGTAGCCTCTATCACCCCAGTAGTATCTGCTGAGTAGCTGGAGACCCAAGCTGATGCCACAATTGGGAACCTGGCAGTTGCTCCATAGACACCCCTCTTGGCCCGTGGCCAAAGCATCATAGTTCAACTGCAAAGCCCCAGTGGTTTAATTATCAAAACCCCAGTGCTACCTCTTTCTTGGGATGGAGTTCGCAGAGGTTCACCTTCCGCCATCAAGTTGGTTATGTGTGCTTGCCACTGACTATGAGGCCGCTCCTCGCTGTTCCTCTTAGAAAACAGTGGAAAATTTGACTGTTTTGTTTATTGTATATATAAAATACTTATAATATTTTAAATGTATGTGAACACTGCACCCATTAGTAGCAGAATATACATTCTTTTTGAGAATACTACATAGAAGAGTTATAAGATTGACTATATTGTAGGTCACATACCAAGTCTCAATAAATTTCAGAGTATCAAAGCATATAGAGCATGTTCTCTAAATACAAAAGATGAACTGAAAAACTGTATGTTCATAAGTCAAGAAATGTATTCCTAATCTCAGTAAATGGTGGTTCAGAGGAGAAATCACAATGAAAATTAGTTAAGTTTTTATGCTGGATGAAAATATATATCAAAACTTGTGTTATTAAGTAAAAGCCCTGCTTCAAAAAAATAAGCAAGGTTGAATACCAGTCTTTTAAACATAAAGTTCAAATGTAAGATCAGCAAATTGATGTCCAAAGAAGGAAGTGTAATAAGGATAACTAATATTAATGAGCTAGAACAGAGTCAAAATATGGAAGATAAAGCCAAAAGTTGGTACTTTGAAAGATGTGTCAATAATGTTTCGTAAGTTTGTTAAAAAAAGGAAAAAGGCAAAATTACCAAAACTATGAATTACTATGTAAATACAAATTCCATAGTCACGTAAGGATAATAGAGAATTCTTTCACCTACATAGAATACCTGGGTTAGTTTAAAGCAACCTTGCTTTCAGAAGACCTAGAAAAACTGAACAAATTCTTTCTTAGATGCTTATTTTCCTTTCCCAACATCACTAAATCCAGTTAGGATGGAGATGACTTAAAACTTTACTTCTGCTCTGAGGAGAAGGGCCTATTCCTACTACCCTTTGTAGCAGAGGCTGTCAGTGCCTGTGCTACATTTCAGAATGCGCTGAACAATTTCCAGTTGCCAATGTCTACATCTGTGTCTTGGTCCTTTATTTTTCCTTTCTGGGACTGCAGAAAGCTATACTTCTCATGGCAGGTCAGAAGTCCCTGGGAATTAATCCTTACCTCTCACTCCAGAAAGCATTTAAACAATAATCCTTGATGTTGTTATATAAATATCCCATTTCTCTCTCTCCTTGAGTTGGATAGTACCACTGACACTTGTATTTTTCAGTATTTTCTAGCATTTCCCTGTTGTACCTGTCTCCCACTGTGGTAACTAACTTACATGAGCACATTCCTTAACTTAAATCCTGTTTTCCCATCCTTGTCACTTCTCTATTCCCCTATAGTTGTTCCCTGTACCTCCCAGATAAGTTTATTGTATTTAAATCCTGTGTGAGGATCTGCTTCCAGTTGGAACCAAAACACTCTTCCTCTAAGGGGTATTTCTTCATGGTCCCCACCCACAGAATAAAGTGTTAACCATGGCCCTTTCTCCTTGATAGTCTGTGCACTTCAGTTTTGGTGAAAGCTCAGCCTGCTATCTCAACCACAACTGAAAATAATCATTGCATCAAAGTGGCTTCAAAAGACAGTTTCAAATTTCTGGGGCATCCTTTTTAGCATGGTATCCCCCAAAATTTTTAGTGTCTTGGTAGCTTTCCATTATTTTCAAACAAATGGTTTTTATATCTTGTCCAGCTTTTTGTTCTCAGTGAGAGAATTGATCTGATATTACTTAGACTATTGGGCAGCACTGGAACTTCCATGTTATATTTTATATTCCTATTCAAATTCAAGTGATACAGTTGAGTGAATCATTGGGTATTAAATCTGGAATTCAGATAATAGTTCTGAGCTAGAATATGAATTTAGAAACAATTTGTGTAGACACTATTTAAAACCATGACAGTTGATTACTTTGGCTAGGGAATGTGTATTGATGGAGAAAAGGTTAATTGAACTGAGTGCTGGGGAGAATGAAATAAAGTACTGGTTAGCTGGGAGAAAAAAGTTCATATACTGAAAACCAGACAAAATATAAAATAAACTTCCCACACTGATTATACATCATTAAACAGATAATGTAATTTAAGTCAAACACTTGTGAATACAGGGCCCTGGGAAGTGAACACAAAGACAAAATGTAGTCCTTCCTCCCCGACATCCATGTTAACAACAAACGTGGTACATAATAATCCACTTATTAACTTGGCCCCAATCAGACTGAAGCAAAAAATTCTTGTCCTGGTGTTGGTATTAGTGCTCATATTCCTTATCCCATAGACGCATGGAAAGAATTTTGCTATGTTGAAACTTAGAAGTATGAGAATAAAATAGAACTTACATCTTTCTCCAAAGTAGGAGTAGACATTTCCAACCCTTGGCAGACATAGATGTGCTTCTTAGTGTCTTGAGGAAATATTAGTTACAAAGAAGACTTGTCATACTACTTAAATATAAGCATCTATGAAGTCATCTTTATCTGGATGGTGTGAATTTTAAGAAATCGTTTGCATCCTACACATTTTCTACAATGAACATGTATTGTTTGTATAATAGAAATATAGAGAGATATTTATTCTTGCTTAAGGAAATCTTGAATCAAAAAAATTTTTTTTAATAGAGGGAAGTTGCAGCTAGCAGCCAGAATGGGGAGGAAATTGTTCCTGCTTTGACTTTATGTTTCTTGATAACACAACTGGAAGCAGCACTTAGGAACATGCAAGCTACTAATTATACTGTAAGTGTTTTCCTTCTAAAAGTTTGAAATGGTGGATATGGACAACATTTTTCAATTAGTGACTAAACAGTGCTTGCTTATTTTAAGTTATAGGTGAATTTGTATTTTTTCTTTTACCTCTAAAGAAGTATTGCTCAAAATTGTTCAGAAACTTAAACTAGTAAAAATAAGCATTCCCAATTAGAAATACATAATCGTGAGTTTCAGAAAGTACTCCTTTCTTTCACCCTAATGTTGATTAGGCCCTCTTTTCTTATGATAGTCTGTATTTATGAAACTTTGAATTTCTGTAATCTGTTGTTCCTAGATAAGTTTCACAAAATAGATTTTCTCAGATTTATTAATTTGCCAATTTTTATGTATCATATAATTTTTTAGGAACACAACTTCTCACCTCCATATGTGCATGTGCTTCACTCTCCATCAAAACCAATGCCATATCCCCTTGCTTTTCCTACCCCCTTAACTGCCTCTATGCTTTCTTGTAACCAGTATGTTTTCAGTCTACTAATGATTTTTCTTGTGCTTTTCCAGTGTTTCTTGATATTCTAATGAGTGAAACCATTAATTCTTTCACTTTTTATTGCACTTAGCATTATCACCTCACTATTAATCCATTTTATCCCAAAAAGCACTGTTTCACCTTTTTAAATAGCTGAGTAATATTCCATGTGTTTATGGTTCAATTTCTTTAACCAGTCATGTGTCTATGGACATATTAGGTGGTTCCATGTCTTAGCTATTATGAATGAGATGGCTGTGAACATAGAAAGGCATACATTTTTTTGTGTTAGTGTTTTCATATTCTTTGGGTAAATACCTAAAAGTGGTATTTCTGATCCCTAATCCCTAATATGTTCTTCAGCTCTATAATTTGCCATATACCATTTTTAAATAAAGACCATATCCTTGTGTTTTGATTTTTCATTGAAGAAATGATAAGTAAGTTTCATACATCTGTTACAATAAAACCCACATGTGAGCAATAAAAGACTTTGACTAAAGAGATCACTATACTTTTTAAACTGGATGGTTAGAGAATTCATGATACCTATGATATTGAATTAGAGCATGAGAATTTTTTGAAAGGTTTAGTGTAACAAGTTTTGATGACATTTAATTTCACTTTCTTTAATCAAACTGTAGTGTTTTGTTTTGAGATTATTCTGGGTTAAATTGTCAAATAATGAAAGCATTTTCAATGGTAATTAGGTGACTCCTATTATAATGACCAGTTTTACTGTTTTTAAAAATTATTACTTACTAATAATTTATTGTTATTTAATAACTATTGAGCAGGCTTAGGATTGTAAGCTGCTTGTATTGGAAAGTAAGTTAGTCTAAATAACCAATTAAAATACATTTTATCTTTTTAGGCACATCAGATTAATATTGGATACTATTTGACACTGTTGTTTCTGTATGGAGTAGCACTCACTGAAAGAGGAAAGAAGGAGGTATTGTATATGTTACTGTCCCATTATAAAACATATACTGACTTTGTTTTAACAGATTTATTGAATCATGAAATCCTTTAAAAATGGAAACTGTTGATAACTTTTCTGGTATGTATTTATAATAGAGTTATTATGTTAAGGACAATATTGTGACACTAAAAATAATTGAATGAAGAACCTTAATTTTGTTTACAACTTTATTTACAATTGTAAATTGTACTTTACAATTGTAAACTTTTGTTTACAAAATTGTTTAGTTTTATTTATCACATAAAATGAAATTTAGCTTCCTTCACATATATAATCCATTTTAATCCACTTTTAGAATAATCTCTCTATTCTTAATCTTAACCCACTTATAAAATATGAGTTTTTTTAATTTAAGTATATAATTGATATACATATATACATATATATGCATATACTTAGCTATGTAGTTTCAGAATTACAACATAATGATTCGGTACCTGTATGTATTGTGAAATGATCATTACAGTAAGCCAAGTTAACATCGTCATCATACATAAATACAGAATTTTTCTTATGATGAAAATTTTAAGCTCTCTTAGTAATTTTCAGGTGTGAGTACATGTTAATTATATTGCTGTACATTAAAATGCCATGACTTATTTTGTAATGGGGAGTTTGTACCTGATAATCCACTAACTCCGTTTGTCACCCTCCATCTCTAGTAGCTACCAATTATTCTCTGTGAACTTGTGATTTTAATGTATTTTTATTTTTAATTCCACATAAATGAGATCAACATAGTATTTGTGATCTCAAGTATTTTCACTTGTTGGTGATTTAGTACCCACTTTGAAATACTGTCTAAAGAAGATCTTTAAGTTCTTTTGTAAATAAATATTTTAAACACCTAGCTATGTAATCACATACAGAGATGGTGGGACTAAAGATGTGAATAAGTTACCAAACGACGGGTCCAGTATTAATGCTTCCCTAATTTATTCAGTTTGGGAAATAATTGCTTATCATGGAAGAAAGAAAAAAAACAATTTTGATCAACCAAATCTTGTTTTATGTTACTGTAGGATTATACAGAAGCTGAGAATAAATTCCTGGTAATGAAGATGGTGATCCAAGAAAATGAAATTTGTGAAAACTTTATGACTTTAGTTTATTTTGGACGTGGTTTGCTTCGATGTGCTCAGAAGAGGTAAGAATTTTTTTTTTTAAGACTTATTTATTTATTCATACAGAACTGGGATAAGGCCAAAGATGCGGAGGGTGAGAGGATTCACCAGGGATAGAGTAGGGAGCAGAACAGGCAGATGGACGAAGTACACTGCTGAAGGGAGTAGCAGTCGGGTCAGGAGAGGTCTGCTGCGCCATGTGGATCTCCTCTGGGGCAGGGGATCGAACTCACGCTGAAGTGGTTTAAGCTTCTTAGTGCTGTGCTTTAACCTGCTGCGCCACCAGGGAGGGCCCAGAGGTAAGAATTTTTTTTTTTTAAAGATTTATTTATTTGTGCTTACAGAACTGGGGTACAGGCCAGAGGCTCAGGGGTGGCGAGAGGCTTCACCAAAGACAGAGTGGGGAGCAGAACAGGCAGTTCGAGGAAGTACACTGCTGAGGGGAGCAGCGGGCGGGTCAGGAGAGGTCTGCCACACCATGTGGTCACCTCTGGGGCAGGTGGGAATCGAACTCATGCGGAAGTGGCTTTAGCTTCTTAGTGCTGTGCTTTAACCTGCTGCGCCACCAGGGAGGGCCAAGGTAAGAATTTTTAATGGAGAGATCTTACTTGTCAATTTTCAGCATTGTAAAATGGGATAAAGTTTGCCCAATATAATTGGGATTATGATATTTGCCCTCTGTTGATTCTTCCTATATTTCCTTCATCGAGTTCTAGGAATGTTAATTTCTTCAGTATACTTGAGAATATTAAATAACTTTACAGGCTATGGTAATAAGAGTTAATATAGCATAACCCTTAAGAATTAAAAATGTAGTCTTGGGAGACTAACCTGAATTCAAATATATTTTCTACCAAGTACATAACCTGTGAACCTTAATACTTCTGATCCTTATCTTTTTTCCTTATTTTTAAAATGAAACTAAAATAGTTGATTCAAGTGCAGAATATGGTTCCCATGACACAAAATGCTATTTTTAATAAATAAATGATGCTTGTAGTTATTAATTTGATCACTACTTGTAACAGATGTTTAAGGTATATGTCATAAAATATTCTAATGGTCCTTTATGGACTATCTGTTTACTTCCTATATGGAGATCTGTAGCCATTTGTAGCATTGTTCATTCATTTTATTTGCTGTGTGTATAGTATATCATATTCTAGAGACTATGCTGAGTGTTAGGTAATAAGTACAATAGTATACAAAAATTTATTAGTATATCTAATAGTATAATGAAGGTTATAGACCCAAGTCAAATAATTAGTTATACAGATACTCAACTGTGGAATGTGATGAAGAGTTATGAAGAAATATACAAGGAATAACCAGTTTCTACTGGAATCTGATTCCTGATTGTAGGAATCAGAAGTTTCCCTGAAGAAATAATGTTTGACTTAGATGTGAAGGATGAATTAGGCTGTTTACTTGTGCAAATCCTTATGAAAGGTTACTGATGGACCCACCCTTTGGGTCCTTGAAAGTGTCATCAAGGTGGTATTTCCCTGATACTTTGTAGGGCTTATCTTTTCTCTTCTGAGATGCTTGTTTTTTACTAGGATATTCAGAAGAGTTCCTACTTCCTGTTCACTAAATGATGCCATTGGAATAGTGGGGCAGTGTGATGTTCTGGATAATCAGAAGCCATTTACTTTCTATTATGGAGAGAATTAACATAGTTCCAAGAAAAGCAAAGAATGTATATTGCTATTTTTCCCTCAACTATGGGAACTATTTTTTATTCATCTCTCATTCACTCATTTTTTTGGAGAGATTCTGCTTTCCAGATCACTGACATCAGAAATACAATACGCTGACATTAGAAAGACTAGTAGTGCGGCAGCATAATTATTTTTACCCCTGACCTACAGTGAACAACTGCCACAGAGCTACTCAGAGACACTGGTGTCCTTTTCAATCTGTATTTCTTGTTGCATTAGTGGCTGTAGTGCCCTGTGGGCTTTTCTAGGAAATACTGTCTAGTGGTGAGATGTCCATTTTAGCCTTCTCACCTTCCTAAGTTTTTTGTAGTTCTCTACCACAAATTTCTTGTCTTTTTACCTCAATGACCGTAGGCCACTGTTATGTCCAAGCTTGTCATCAGTATATTAGGTCTGACTGTCCTAGCTAGGAAAGTAAGTATTTAATTATGGAGAGTTGTCACATATCAATATATACTTCTCTATTCAGCTATTTACTTGACTCTTGGTTAGGTACTTGCAAGATCCTCCCACATTTTCCTACCAGTAATAGTCAAGTTCTGTTATTCATATGGTTGAAAAAAGCTGTTTCTTCCTGGGCATGGATTCTGTCTTGCCATCAGGGCTCTGCTTATAACTGATCCTAGAGTTACTGGTCTAGAGACAATGAGTGGAGATAGGGGAGGATATTGAGAAAAAAAGATTATCATCTTTTGAGACATGTGTCTCTAATGATATATTTGCACAGTCTCTAAGTATATGGAGTCTGTTGTACTCTAGTAAAGATCTTTCCAGCCATACTGCCCAGGGGAATTTCATTCATTGTTTCTACATATATTTCTCTAAATTTTCACTCTCTAATTTTCAGTCTCCTTGTTCCCTATCAAAGTCCTAATGTTAGTATAATAGCTCTGTTGAGGTGATGCTTTTGTTTTTTCTTGTTCTACCTTTGTGATTAAATAAATAGTGGGCCACATTTCCACCGTATGTTTAGTGTTGTCTGCCCTTATGAGTTGGTGAGTGTTCTTTAATATCATAGAGGTTTTTAGTTTTCATCAAATGTCCTGCTGATCAAATTTCCTGTGCCTTTGACCTTTTTTGCATTTTTTTCCTACTTTGTGCTTAAATATGGGCCTTATTTTATGCACAAATTATCTTCACTGCTATAGAAGATTGGCTTTAAGTGCTGCTACAGAGGCTTCTGTTTGCAGTTTTCCCTGAGTTGCTGACATGTGCCTACCATTCTCTTTCTTCAAGGCTTCCAGGCAGTGAGCAAAAACCATTCAACTCTGAAATCCCTTTATCATGGTCCCCATACTGTTCAAACTTCAGCTAATAATATAGTGCCCTTTTCCATTTGTATTTTACCCCAATCTCCCACAGGTAAGAGTCCTAGTGCTTTTACTTATATTTCTGTAGTATGTCAGAAGTTGTTACCAACCAACTTTCCAGGAAAAAATAGGTTTCTTTTGTCTTACTGGCAAGCCAGTTAAGAGAGACCTCTTCAAGCTAACTGTTTTTAAATGCTTTACAGATATAATGGAGGACTGCTAGAATTTCATAAAAGCTTACAAGAAATAGGAGATACAAATGATCATTGGTTTGACATAGATCCTATAGAAGATGAAGATTTTCCTACAACATTTAAAGTAAGAAACTATTTAAGAATAGTATTTCTCTGGCGACAATCAAAAACACCTTTGAGGAAGTACATTTTATAATAACTGTTGATATATCATGTTCTATATAGTATGTATATTCTTTTATTGAAAGTTAACTTTTTATATAAGAAAAGAAAACCTTGATTCCATTACCTCATGTGTAGAGTGCATATGATTCAGCAAGTAGAAAGTGAATTGGCTATACAAGATTAAAAGTTATACCAGTCCAGTACTTCATGTGGCTAGAGTTAAATAGAAGTTCATTTCTTTTTTCTACTATGTTAACTATTATTTATGTACTTAAATTAAAAAATTTCTAAATGCTTACTTCAGAAAACTTGAAGATATAAAAACCCCAAAAGATAAAATTTAACTGTATTTCTTCAAATGGAGAAACCATTGTATTTTCATTGATTTATACATATGTATAAACAAACACTTTATATTTTTAAAGATGTACTCATTTATTTATGCACAGAAAAACTGGGTTGTAGGCCAGAGGAATGAATGGTAAGAGGGTTCACCAGAGACAGAGTAGGAAGCAGAGCAAGCAATCTACCGAAATACAGAGCTGAGAGGGGCAGTGGGTGAGTCAGGAGAGGTTGCTACACCATGTGGGTCAGCTCGCTGACCAGGAATTGAACACATGCCTCAGTGGCTGACAATAACTTGACAGTCCCGAGACTTTAACCCCTGTGCCACCAGGGAGGCCCTAATAATAAGCTTTTTAAATAGACACTTTTATTCCAAGTTGTAACTCTGAACATTGGAAGCATGCTTCTTTACCCTATTTCTGCCCATTATGATGGTGAATAGCATTTTGAACCACTACAGTAGTTCCACTGCCACCATGATATTCCGGGGACCATCCTAGAATGACTTCCCTGGAATTCTAGTGATTCAGTCTCTCTCTTTCTCTGTCCATACACACACACACACACATTTGCTCATGTATGCATGTATACGTATGTGTGTGATTCTTGATGGAAACATGCCACATGTTATACTGTGGGTTAGAATGGTGAAGAGAGATATATCTTAAAACCTAGCCTTTTTAACTTTCTCTAGATTTATCTTCAATATTTCTATTTTGGACCCTTCCTGTATGTTTACTTTGAATGAAGGTGATATGTCCTATATTATTTGATACAAGGCATATATGCTTCCAAAAGGGATATGAAATGGACATGTTATTAAGATAAAATACTAGAAATGTTATGGCCTTAATATTGTTAACTCATGAGATTTGTTTCCATTTCTACAATTTAGGTTCTTCTTAGTAATTGTATTAAGACAACTGAAAGTAATATAATGAAGCAGACCATTTGCAGTTATCTAGATTGTGAGCGATCTTGTGAAGCTGATATTTTAAAGAACACCAATTATAAGGTACTATGATTATCAATTATTTCTTAATCTGTAACTATAAAGGTAAACAAGTAAAAATTATTATAATATCATTCATCAAAATATTGCTTTAAAGGAGTATTTAGTTTAATTACAGTGGTAATGCAGTTGAGAAATTGTTTGAATATCTTTGAGAATTTAGGTTTATATAGTGGGCAGGTACTATTGTATTCTGTGAGTCAATAAAAGTGTTAATAGTTTAATAGTGAAAAAAAAGTGTTAATAGGTTTGGCTAAAGTTTTATAATATTTACCTGTCTGAAACAATAATATCCTTGCATTCATACAGTGAAAATTATCTAAAATATTCTTTATAATTAGAAATAGTGTAGCTGAAAATACTAGTATTTTACTAAGGAGAAAGGTTATCACTGCAAAAATTAATATTATTGAGTAGTTAATCATTATCTTTTCGATGGCCTCTGGGGTGAAAAAATGTAACTAACTTTGATTGGAAAAACTCAACAAACAGAATACTTCAAATGTAGTTCTCTCTGAGTCTAGCAGAACAAACCTGTGGGACATCACATGATAATACGAGATGTGACCATCAGTGCAAATCTGATACCACCTCCATGTGGTAGTGGAAATCTCAGCTGCAGGTCATGATGTGTACAGCACATGGGACAGTGGGAGGACAAGGATATATGCAAGTTCTGTAATTATGATAAAGCAGTGTTAGGAGGTGGGTGTGGTAAAGCACCGTGCTCAGGGTGGGGCCAGTGCAATCTTTGCTTGGGCAACAGGGTGAGAGAGGGAGGGTGCAAAGAAAACAAGAAGTCTGCACTCTATGATGATGCAGTAGCTGGGAGCCAGCAATCACCAAGACAGCAAATCTGAGGTCTGGTGTTTAGTAACCGGAAATTCAGAGAATTATGATATGGAATTGGGGCTAGACGAAGAGAGAGATATGAAAAGGGAGGAAAGATGTGTAGAAAGCATGTTTTCCTACAAAGGTCACTCACTGTATGTTTGATATTTTAATGTATACAACATAAGGAAATACAGCATTGACTTGTTGAAATTGCCTTTTTGTCCTGATTTCTTTTGTCTTCTGTGATATAGAAATGACTTGTAATTTTCTTAGATTACCAGTCATATGTTATAAATTCTGACTGCATGTCAAACTCATCTAGTAATAATTTTTAAAGTGACTTTAGGTGGTGTTTTTTACACAGATATGATTTTCATATTAACAGCTTAATTTTTTTCCATTCCAGGGTTTTTTTCAGCTAATGTGCAGTAAAAGCTGCTGTGTTTATTTCCATAAAATTTGTTGGAAAAAGTTTAAGAATTTAAAATATCCTGGTGAAAGTGATCAGGTAGTATATGTTTTTATCTTTATAACTTTACTACACTATTTTTTCTTCTGTTTCCTCTTTCTCTTTCATGTCTTCTTGTTTTCATCCTTCCTCCTCTTTTTCTCCCTTCAGTTTTCTTTGTTTTGTTTTTTTCCTGATATTTCTCTTACCTTTCAGTAAAAAAGATATTTATAGAGGATACTTTGGTAGTTGCTTTTTCTTAATGATTTCTGTTCATTTGTTCATTCCTTTTAGAAGTTTAAGAATACAGATATTGCTGCATTTATTCAGCAGGACATTATACAGATATTGAATACAGATATTGCTGCATTTATTCAGCAGGACATTATATACAGGACATTAATCGAAGAACTGCTTAACAATCAGAAAGGAAAACTTACAATTTTAAATACTAGTTTTCATTTTAAGGATGGAGAATAATGACAAATTTTGTAGTTTTTAAAAATGTATTGTTTATAGTTACCTGAATTCACATTACTAAGTTGATTTTTTGACACTAAAATTAAAGTAGAAATCCAAAATCCAGTTTTCTAGTAATTATTCTAATGTGCTGATGACCATAGATTGAACTATGTTTGGTTCTAGAGTGTTTAAAACACTGTAAGATTCATTTTTTTTTCTTAGCCCTATATACTTTATAAGGTAATTATGAGAATGGAGAGATAAAAAGAAACTTGCATCATACACTGTAAAAGTCATTCATTTTTGTAAAGCAGTGTATAAATACTTTTCACCTTCTTTGATTGTTGTATAAATATTGTTCAGCTTTAGAAAGAGAAACAAAGAAAAGCTAAGTAGCTTAACTGGAAGAAATGACAAGATCAGAACCAGAAAGGACTCAGCATTTTTGTTTTCCTTTATCCTGTAATTTTTGTATTTGATAGAAATTTAGTATTGCCTTTTTGTTCTTACTTATGATTGAAGATTTTGAAGTAGACACGGTAAGAGAGAAAAGTATGATTACCATTTTGAACAGGAAATCCATTGATAATTGGTCTATCTTTGAATAACTGAGTCTCAGACTTTTGTGTGTGTGTGTGTATACATATACATATATGTATATATAGTCATCTGTTTCTAACTCTACTTAAAGATTTTCACACCACTGATTTTTTTATATTTTGTATTTTTTACTGATAATTTGTTTTTTCTATTGATAATTTGTAGAGTTTCAGTGGAAAAAAATGTTTGAAGGAAGGATGTACAGGTGACATGGTAAGGATGCTACAATGTGATGTACCTGGAATTGTTAAAATTTTGGTGAGTCTTTTACCTTTCTTTCACTAGAATATTCTTTACTTCAAGTAGACTTGGGAATCATGAAAATTATATTCTAGTCATGTTCTCTCTGATAGTGACCAAGCTTTCTGAACTTTCTACTGCTTTGATTTCTCTAAAGTTGTATATAAATGATTCTTAAGGATATATATATATATTTTTAATTGAGAGAATCATATGTCCACATAAAGAAACAAAGCAGGCCATGGCTACACCAGTGAGCAAAGTCTGTCATGAATTTAAAATGATTATCTAATTCTGTGCCACCTATGGCTAAAAGTAATTTTAAGACTCTGAAATTCATGTAGTCTATAAGCATCACATCTGTGATAACATCTGTATACAATCTCATGCAGTATTTGCATGAAAAATGTACCCTAATGGTATTCATCTTTTAACTAAAGAAATACCTTATTGAATTTTTAATTTATAAGTAAATAGATGAGTTATAAATAGAGCAATATATTACTTATCTTTAAATGCACTGTTTTACATTTGACATTTAAATCCTAAAGTCAAAATAGAACTGCTTTTTAAAATCAATTCCATAGTTTTTTGTTTGATTAGAATTGTTATGACTTGTTACTTCTGTTTTATATCTGCATTAGCTTTATTCTCACTGTCTTTTTTCAAATGTTAAGTAAGACTAAAAGTAACAATAAAGAATTTTGAAAATTGAATTACTTTTTTTTCTTTCAATCACTTGCAGTTTGAAGTTGTGAGAAAGGATGAATATATAACCATTGAAAATTTAGGAGCAAGGTAAGTTTAAAATAAAGAATTCTACTTTTTTGAGCATGTATATATTTTTCAGTTTGTATTTTTTGGGTTTCTGTTGTGTTAGGGTGCCATTAAATTTAAAAGGTAGTATTAATTGTGTGAACAATTGCATTTAATTGACATTTGTCTTCTCTCTTTCCCCACTTTGTATACATTTAAATTTTAAAGCAGGAAATGAGAAATTGTGCGTATATTTTTTGCCTTTAAGTATGAAAATCATCCTCTCTTGGAAACATGTTTTACAGTCATTTAAATTAGGTCATTATGATATAAAATCTTTCTCCTAAATTTTATAACTCTTACAGTCCCTTATCCTTATCTGACAGTTAAATCACCATCATTCCTACATATAAGAAATAAGCACACAAAGAAAACTGTATTGCAGAGCTATACTTATAAGTATAGTATAAGCTAGGAATTCATAGAGATATAAAGTGTTAGATGGAAATCAGAAGTTTCAATATAAAATGTTTTACTAATCCATTGACTCTCTTCTGCATAATGTAAATGTACCATTTTTCAGTCTACTAAGTGCTTTTTTTTTTTGACATCTAAGGCATCAGTTTTCCTATAGGAGCTACTGAAATTCAAATCTTTTCAGCATACCTACAACTGAACTTTCAATCTTTCTTCCCAGTTGTTGTCAGTACCTTTTTTTTAAACTTCATTAAGAACTGTGAATACCCATATGATTTTATTTTATTCTATTGCAGTATTTTTCTAATTTCAGTTTCTAATTATTTGTATTGTAGAAGTTGATTTGTTTATATTACATTTGTATCTTGTGACCTGTTATTTAATAGTTTTAATATATAATTTTGTAGATTCTTTGAAATTTTCCACAATTGATCATGTTAATTTTGAATAAAGACAGTTTAAAATCTTTTTTTCCTATCTATATGCTTTTTGTTTATTTTTCTTTATTTACTGCAGTGGCCAGGTCCTTTGGTTACAGTGTTGAATATTAGGTGGTAAGAACAGACATGTTTACTTTTTCAGATCTTCAGGTCTTCAGTTTAAAACAGTTTAGTATGCCATTTACCAGCTGACCATGATCTATTTACAGACCTATGTTCCTTAACAACTGTGATTCATTCTGAGAAATGTGACTTTAGGTGATTACACCATGTGAATGTAAGGTGACTTACATAAGCCTAAGTGGTATGGATTTCTGTATACCTAGCGAGATATATATATGTATGTGTGTGTGTGTGTGTGTGTGTGTGCCTACATTATGTATATGGTCTGTGATTAATCAAAACATCATTATGTGGAATATGATTTTTTTTTTCATATTGCTAGGTTTTTTTCCCTAGCATTATTGGCTATAGCTGAAATACAACACTAAGTATAAGGGCATACAGTATGGTGATTTGATAAATGTAAATATTATGAAATGATTAGCACAATAAGGTTAACACATCTATCACCTCTCAGAGTTAACATACTTTTTGCCATGTTGTATTTCTTAGTTTTTCAGGCTTACTCTCAGATTCTGGGATTTTCATAAAGGTTTCCTGTATATGGATAGTTGCTAGTTGGTCTCATGGGAGGGACTGAAGTCTAGAATGGCCCTATGTTGCCATCTTGATATCACTTCACTGGATTGGTGGTATTAAATCACCTATTCATAAAAATTTTAAAAACAGCAGGCAGACTTTATGTAGTACTATCTTGATAGGTAAAGGCACTGATACATTGCGGCTTTGCAAACGGGAGTGATGGAATTTTATCATTAAGCATTGGGGTGGTGAGCAGTGGATGAAAAATTACAAAAGAACCATCAAAGGTAATTGTTTGCTAAAATAATTAACAATATTCTTGCTGGAAGTAGACAGGATAATTATGTATTATTTGGAGGCTGATAAACATGTAAGCATAATTCATTTTTTTCTATTTTGAACTTTTATATACATTTAAACATTTTTTAATGCTTTTTAACTATTCATGGCTTTTGATTCATTCTTACTATTGTTATACCTTTTCATTCAGTCGCTCTGTTTTACTGCGTGGCTGTACTACTTTAATTATTCTACTTTTGATAAATGACATGGATTATTTTCAATATTAAGCTTTAACAACCGTGCTACAGTAAACATTTCTGTGCATATATATATGTGCAAAAATTTTTCCAGAATATATCTCCAGAATACATACACCCGAGTAAATGTGTATGTGTGTGTGAGAGAGAGCGAATAGACTTGCTGGGCCATCTATGCAATCTTCAGCTTTACTAGATTTTGCTAAATTGTTTCCCACAGTGTTATTACCAATTTACACTCCTACCAGTACTATAATAGCATTCCTTTTACTCATTATCTTTGTCAATAAATATTATTAGAATTTCGTGTATTTCCAGTGCAGTGAATGTTGATCACTGTTATGGTGCTGCTGGAGTGATATAAAGTCAGGTTGATGACAACTACCAGTATCTGTGTTCATTAAGCTTATATTCTAGTGTTATCCATTTATTTTGTTTCCTGAGAGTTCTCATTTCAAAGTTGAGCCACATGCTTTTTCATGTTTTATAGCAAGGTTTACCTGGTATTTAGTCTGTTTAATAAATATTGTTACTTTTCCCTCCACTTCCCTCTAACAATTTGTATTAATAATATGCCCGTTTTTTCTCTCTTTTTTAAAATTACTGATCACTAAATGAGTTAAACATTTTTTTGAGTAGTTATTAGTCAAAAGAGTCTATGGTGGAGGATAGCCTGGGAAAAGTTCCAGGTTTGCTGTTTTTCTTTTGTTTTAACCACACAGTTTTCTTGTAAATAGATCATGGATTCTTTTTGTGTGAAATTTAGAAGTTTTACCTGCCTTCTTTATTCTAATCAAAATGACTTTATGGGCTTGGCACTGTCAATGGTTTTTGTCTGTTCTTTGATTTTCTTTCTCTGTAAATTATTTCCAGGAATTAGAACAAAAGGAGAAGAAAATGCTCAGTTAGCCGTGCTGGTACCTGAAACCTAACTGGCTTTGGTATTGACTGTAACAATTTCTTTTTCCACTTGCAGTTATAAAAAGTTGATGTCTCTGAAAATAACTGATACTGATATAAGACCGAAGATCAGTTTAAAATTTAGCGGAAAAGGTATTCTATTTTCATATGTCTCCTATTGAAAAGGATGTTAAAATTTATTGAGTTTCTGTCAAGTATCATGCCATTAACAACCAGGTATTTACATTTGTTTGTAATTCACTGGCCTCACACTAGCAAACATCACTTGCTGTAGCCTGGAACTTATAGATAGAAAGTTTGGCAGGTGTGTGGGTCTTACATACTACCACATCCTATAGAAAGGCCTGTTAGGTCCAGCATGTAGCTGTGACTGTCAGATGAGGTTGTTCCTCATCAGTCCTACTCCTTTGTATCATTTCCTATTGATAAATTGGTAGGAATGTACATTATGGGCTTAAGGCCAAGTAATATAAGGTTAGGTGCCAACTCTTTATGCTCAGAGATGCCAGCTGCACAGCCCTTGGAGACCTTAAGGGATCCTCAGTCCATGGAAGAATAGTTTGGTGGTAGTATTTCTTGCTAGGGGAAAAATGATGTTTCTCATCCCAGCCAGCTCCTTATTGGCAATTCAGAGAAAACCCTCTGGTCTATTTCCCTTATGACCTTATTTGCCTTATGGTGTATGGCAAGTTCATCAAACAAAATATTCATTTAAAAATCTCTTGGTACAGAATCATGAATAATAATGTTGAATTTTATAATAAACACATTTTGATATTTACACAAAGATATGCATATATATTTTTACTACTGTCTAATTTACTTTATATACTTTCATTCTTTAGTAATAAAACCAGAAGACAAATAACAAATATTCTAAATGCATGCCTTATTCCATTTCCTTGATGAAATACCTTCTTCATCATTAATTTATATATATTTTATTTATTTATGCATACAGAACTGGGGTGCAGGCCAGGGGTACAGGGGCAGTGAGAGGATTCACCAGAGAGAGTGGGGAGCAGAACAGGCAATGAACAAAATACATTACTGGGGGAGCAGCAGGAGAGGTCAGGAGAAGTCTGCCTTGCCATGTGGATCTCCTTCGGGGCTGGGGATGGCACTCGCACTGAAGCGGCTGCAGCTAGCTTGCAGTGCTGTGTTTTAACTCACTGCACCACCAGGGAAGCCCCTAATTTATATTTTTTGAGATGGTAAGAACATGATGTTCAATAGATCATTCTATTTCAAAATTTAGTATTTATTGGAATCCTCTGATGACTTTGTTGAAATGTAGGTGTCAATTCAATAGCTCTAGGGTGGTAACTGAGAGTCCACATTTCTGCCAGATTCCCATATGGATTCTGCTGCTGCTGCTGCTGCTGGTCCATGAGCTATATTTGCCATTGAAAGGCACATATCACTTTATGTTCATGTATCTTTGTGCGTTGTCAAATATGGTAGCTACTAGTTATATGTTAACTTTATTTTAAATTAACTAAAAGTAGATAAAACCTCAGATGTAGTTCCTTTGTAAGACAAAAAGCATTTTCATTGTCCTGGGGCTAGTGAATAGTTCAACTGTAACATTTTCACATCTTTTCAGAAGATATGACAGTGTCTGTGAGACAGTGCTGATTAAGATAAAACATAACTTCCTATGTAAAGTATAATTAAACTTAATGGGCAGTTCCCATTCTGGACAGTCTTGAGTTTCCAATGGTCTCATACTTTCATCCTTCTCATTCAGTAAATGAATAAAACCCTGGTTGGTTGAGAGACTTATGTGGTAATTAGTCTTTGTGATTACTTTTGCTCAGAAACAGTTTTCATCTGGATTTTTTGACAGCTAGACAGTAGCATGCTTGTTGAGCTGACTGTGGCATAGCACTGTTCTGTACTTCATTCTTTTGGAGTAGTCCCTGTTCTACAGGAGTTGAGAATGTAATATGAGAGACCACATAGAGAAAGAGCATTAATGTGGAATGTTTTCACTTTTTAAAATTCATTTTCAGATGAAATGCCTATCTTCAAACTTGATTATAATTATTTCTATCATCTGCTTCATATAATTATTATTTCTGGTACTGACATTGTCCGGCAAATATTTGATGAGGCTATACCACCCCCTCTTTTGAAAAGAGAGCTTCTTATACACAAGAATGTGCTGGAACCCTACTACAACCATCTCTGGACCAATCACCCTTTGGGTGGAGCATGGCATCTGCTTTATCCCCCAAACAAGGAACTTCCACAGTCCAAACAGTTTGACTTATACCTCTTATTAGCACTCATAAAACATTTGAATGTATTCCCTGCACCCAAAAAGGGCTGGAGTATGGAACCACCATCTTCTGACCTCTCTAAGTCTGCAGACATCCTGAGGCTGTGCAAATACAGGGATATCCTCCTTAGTGAGATTTTGATGAATGGCCTCACTGAGTCACAATTCAATTCAATTTGGAAAAAAGTTTCAGATATTCTTCTGCGCCTTGGGATGAAGCAAGAGGATATTGACAAAGTGAAGGAGAACCCCATTGAGAATATCTCTCTTGATTACCATCAGCTGTCCATCTACCTAGGCATACCAGTACCCGAAATCATCCAGAGGATGTTATCCTGCTATCAACAAGGTACACAATAATTATTTACTTCAGCCAGTAAACCTTCACTGAGTGTCTGCTTTGTACCAGACACAGCGGTAAGGGCAGGATATTCAGTAACTCACATTCTTGGGAAAATAAACTCATCGAGAAGCTAGTAGAAATTACAGTGCTAGAGATATTTCCAAAACGCCAAGAGAAATCCTAGCTCAAAAGTGTTCTGAAAGCCTGGAAAACATAATATCTAATGAATTCTTAAATAACATAAAATTTTGCCAAGTGAAGAAGATGGAGAAGGATGTTTCAGAAGGAATCAGGAACAAAGGTATAAAAACAAAAACATACTATAATGCAGGGAACTAAAAAATTTGACCTTAGGAGAGTAAACTAGGAAAAATTTATAGAGAAAATACAATCAAGAGGAATTCTCTTGCCTAGTTGAAGACTTTTGTTTTCCGAAAGGAATTGTGAAAATATTTTAGTAGCAGTGTTTTACCACTTGTAGAAATTAACAGGGCCTTAAAATTGTGAAATACAGGAACAGTGTGTTTATATTTTCCTTTCTTTCTAGCAGAACCTTTACATTTAGTTTTTAAAATGACAGTGCTATGTGTAAATTTAAAAAATTAGATTTAACATTAATGCAAGTGTCTTAAGATCAGCAGTGACCATTCCCAGACACTGCCTGTTGATACAAGAAATACTTCAGATCCCCTTTCCTGCCTGACAGGATAACTTCTCAGCTGTGTCATAGGAAGCAGGGTATGTCAGCACTTTTTTTTTTTTTTTAAATCCTTGCTGTGGTTTTCTTATTATCTTTTCCTGGTCCTGAATTATTAATCACCCTTCCTAAGAAGCAAATGATAACCACACTGATGTTATTTAAATATACAACACACATTTCCAGTACTTATTGAACTGGTCCAGATTTTCTTCAGAGATAATTAAGTTCATTTTCTAAACCTCTGGGTTACTAGTGTGTCCATCTTTTCCCCTTCTTAACTTTTAAGAATTCTGTGCTCATAAAAGGTGTGATGGTACATGAAGTCTGGTAAAAAAAAAACTTTTGACTTGTAAGTTAGAGAATTTTTTTTTACATTTGCTTTCTTTCTATTTTAAATAAATACTGATGAGGAGAAAAGTAATATTTGGAAAGTGTTTTGAGCACTAAATAAATTCAAGGCATTTCAAATACTTCTCATTCAAGTAGTCTGAAGAGCTTATTGATCATTTCCCTTTAATAGAGGCTTGTTTGTCTATAAGTGCATGCTATATGTCTTTCCTAGTTAATTACAGTTATGTTTTTCATGTGTATATCTGATTATTTGATTTATAGCCATTGTCCCCACTAATCTCTACAAAGGTTGTCTTTCCCCCCCACCACCACTTAATCTCTAGACCTAACACATCCTGATAAATCATAAGTGTTTAATAAATACCAATGAGAAGAAGGAGTACTGGTACAGGTAAATTATATTCCTACAAATACTTAACCTTTCAATGGAGGTTTGCTTCATAATTGACTATTCATGACCTTGGGCTTTGTAAATCATAAGAATTTTCTGCTTGATTTAAAGTGCACACATTCAAAATAAAAAATATAATTAAAAAATTAAGTAAAAAAATAAAGTGTGCACATTCTAGGCATTCTATGTTATGAACTCAAAATTTTGTTTACTTTTCTTTCTCTAGCTATAGGTTTTATGTTAAAAGTCAAAAGAGTATATACCTTCTTTATGCTGGCTTTGTGAGTGAAGATTGTTAATTTTCAGCTATAAAATTAATTAGCACAGTAAAAATCTTTTGCTTTTTCTTAGTCCCAGGCAGATATTTCTTGGTCGCATTTGCAATTATACATCTAATTTTTTTTCTTTATGTATTATAGGAATTGCTCTACAGTCAATAACAGGAAGTCAACGTAAGTATATTTAAAAACAAAATTTTTAAATAAACCTTCAACTTGGGATGCTTAAAGGCTATTGGCAGTAGTTTTATTTGGTCAGATAAACTACTGACTGTAATTAGTTGCTAAAGCTTTGAGGAGCAGATGGCTGCTGGTGAGCTGAATTTACTATGAGCCTTTTTACTGTGCTGTGTCCTATTGTATGTCCCCAAGCATTTATTCAAAGGCACTGTTATAACTTTTGACACAGGACACTTCAATAGGCGAAAACCCCTGTATTTTCTACCTTCTCATATTTATCTGGTTAACTACCAATTACTGTACATACTGTATTTTTTTTTACTAAATCATGAATTGTGAATTTTTAATTTCCATTTTTGTGCTTTTAAAAAGAGTTACTTATTTTGTATAATTAAAATTATACTTAAAAGCCACACTATGGGTTTTGTTTGGAATAAAATTATTCTTAAAAGATATAAAGAACTGGCGCTTTCTGGTGGCGCAGCGGGTTAAAGCACTACACTAAGAAGCTTAAGCCACTTCCGCATGAGTTTGATCCCCGCCTGCCCTGGAGGTGACCACATGGCGTGGCAGACCTCTCCAGACCTCTCCTGACCTGCCCGCTGCTCCCCTCAGCAGTGCACTTTGTCGATCTGCCTGTTCTGCTCCCCACTCTGTCCCTGGTGAATCCTCTCACCCTTCGCATCTCTAGCCTGCACCCCAGTCCTGTATGAATAAATAAGTAAATCTTAAAAAAAAAAAATACAAAGAACTGACACCATCTACTGGAACAGACACACAGACCAATGGAATCTAGTAGAAAACCCAGAAATAAACCCACAGATTTATGCAAAGAATATGCAATGGAGCAAGAACAGTCTGTGCAATAAATGGTGCTGGGAAAATTGGACTGCTAAATGCAAAAGAATGAAGCAGACTCCTACCTCACACCATGAACAAAAACCAACTCAAAATCGATAACAGAATTGGACATAAGAACGGAAACCATAAAATATATAGAAGAAAATATAGGCCATGACATACAACTGCATGACATACAACTCAGAGATATGTTTAGATACATCCCCAAAGCAAAGAAAGTGAAGTAAAAGAGAAACAGCTGGGACTAGAGCAATGGTGCATGGGTGAATTGGTGGAAATTATATAGGGACTGTACCTGAAAAGAGAAAACATACACTGTACAAAAAGGAAGAATGTTGTTTTATATATTTGTCTTTTATTTTTCATTTAATTGTCTTTTTTTAATTTATATATAATATATAATTTTTTTTTAAGATTTATTTATTTGTGCATACAGAGCTGGGGTACAGGCCAGAGGCTCAGGGGTGGCAAGAGGCTTCACCAGAGACACAGTGGGGAGCATAACAGGCAGATCTACGAAGTACACTGCTGAGGGGAGCAGTGGGCGGGTCAGGAGAGGTCTGCCACACCATGTGGTCACCTCCGGGGCAGGTGGGAATCAAACTCATGCGGAAGTGGCTTTAGCTTCTCAGTGCTGTGCTTTAACCTGGTGCACCACCAGGGAGGGCCAATATATAATATTTTTATATCTCTATATATCTAATATTAGAGTCCATATATATATATATAAATTTTTTTAAAGACAATTTATTCATTTAATTTTGAACATTTTGTCTTTATATTTAGGTATTGAAATAGAAGAGTTACAGAATGAAGAAGAATTAAGTCCACCTCTTATGGAGTACAACATAAATGTGAAATCAAACCCTGACATACAGCTAGCAGAAATGAATAAAGATGAGGCATCAATACCCAGCGAATCTTCAACAGAATCCATTAAAGATCTCCAGGAAGTATAAGCTCTCATTAATATCTGAATTAGAAGAATTCATCCAGGCCTATAGTTTCCTGCATGTGGTATACTTAAAGTATCTCCGACAATCTTAGTTTATATTTAGCATAGTGTTTACACAGAACTTGGATGGAAATGGTTCCCCAGTACTTACTTCCATAATCTTTCCTGACTTAACCATCTAATGTGCCAACATGTTTTGAACACTTTTTATGTTTTTTTATGTTATGCAATAATGTACAAAAATGGTAGATTTATGAACATGTTTCTTCATCTGAATTGATAGGATAGATGAGGGAGGTTAACAGAAGATAGAAGAAAGCATACTAAGGAATAAAAGAAGGAAGAAAATAAAGCTTCAATATCATTTGCATAAAGGTAGAATTAAAATAATTTAGAATGGACTCTCAGTATTTCTTTATGGATAAGTTGTCACATTTAAATGGTCATTAAATTCTTCATAGGTTTAATTTTTCAACTTGTGTACCTGGATATGTTGATTTTTAAGAAGTGCTTCTTCCTTTTGCTCATGCATATACATGTGTAAATGAGCTTTGTACACTGACATTATATATTGTCTCTAGACAACAGTGATTTCTCAGAAGACAGGTTAAAGTACAAATTAAAATGAAGTTTTAATTTCATTAAAATGGAAATATTAGGAGATGTCAGTGGTTAGAAGAAATGTATTCTGCAAAATAACTCATTGTTCAGTTTGAATTACATATTAAAAATTACTTATTTCTTACCTTTCAGGTTAAGAGTAAACAAAAGAAAAAGAAAAAGACTAAGAATCGAAAGGTAAGAGACAACAACATTAGCTTTATAATAAGTGGATATATAATTATGACTACTTAGATTTAATACATGGATTTACTGTTAGAATTTAAAATTAGTCCAAATAGGCAGTATAAATGACTTATATATAACAACAGCTCACTGAATCTATGAGTAGAGAGAAGTCCATGTATGTCAGATCGTAAATTATTTAAAAATACACTAAACCCTACTTTACTTCCTAAATTAAAATTTATAAACTTAACTATGCAAATAAAGAAACTGAGCTAGTTATTTGGGGATCTCATTAATTTCTGCATACCACTCTCATCTTGAAAATGTCTATTCAGTGTTTTAAAGTAACTGCTCATCATATATCTACTGATATGTTCCATAGCATTTTTCAAGACATTAAGAAATTTTAATTTTCTTCTTTGGTCTAAGACTCTGCCAAAAATGCAATAATGTACAAAAATGGTAGAAAATGCAAGAAGCATCTTTCATGTCTCTTCCTTGTTTTGTGCTAGTTAGAAAATGAAAAATTTACTAAAGTTTCACTGTTTGAGGAAGATTTGTTAATTACTTGGAAAATTACAGGGGAAAGTCTGTGTGGGTTTCTTTTTTTTTTTTTTTAAGGATTTTCTCCCTTTTTAATGCATTTTTTTCCATTCAGAGTACAGTTGAGGTGAAGATACATACCCATCCATCCTTCATAAAGCACATTCCCCAGCAGAGCAGTACATTCATTACACTGATGTACCACATCAAGGTATCATAGTCACCAGAGTCCATACTTTACATTTTGATTCACTCTTGATGTTATACATTGCTATGGATTTGGATTTGGGTGTTTTTAAAATCAAATATAGTTTAACCACTATGCTATGCAAACTTTCTATTTAAAAAAAAAAGTTTTCTGCCCTGAAACATATATCCAAAATCTAGATACTGATGAGATTTCTTATTATAAACTGAGAAAGAATATTTGCCAACTATAATCTGGTAAGCCCATGTAATTAGTCATTTCAAAGAATATACAATTTTAACCAGAAATAAACTTGAAGATAAAAAAGGTAAATATATGAAATGCTTATTGAAGTCAAGAACAAATATGATAATCAATAAAATGTCAATACCATCATTTTCATATTTATCATAAGCATTTGTTATAAATGCCTTGAACGTTAACTTTTGTTTTTAAAAGAGATAATTTTTTTTTCTTTTAAACAGTTCTGTTGTCTGATAAAGTACAGCCTTGTTTGTTAGTTTAGCTGGTATTTTTCATTTTTGCCAAATATTAATAATTCTCGATTTTAATACTACATAATGCTGGCACAGGAAATCCAAAGCTGCTAGATCACAAATCTGAGTTCCAAGATTATGTACTGTTTCTCTTTATTTCCAAAAAGCTAAAATATGGTAACACTCAGATTCTCAATTTTTAACTGGAAATTTCTACTTTTATATAAAATTAAAATTAAATGGGGCCCTCCCTGGTGGCGCAGCGGGTTAAAGCACAGCACTGAGAATCTAAAGCCAATTCCGCATGAGTTCGATTCCCGCCTGCCCCGGAGGTGACCCACATGGCATGGCAGACCTCTCCTGACCCGCCCGCTGCTCCCCTCAGCAGTGTAC